TGATTATGTATAAATTTATTTTGTTTTGTTATTTCATAGAAAATTTTCAATAATTATTGGAGATTAAACTACTGTTATTGAATTTTTTAAATTTAGTTTATTGTACTTATTGTATTTATTGTATGTTTTATAAATTATTGATTAATTAATATTTATTAGAGATTAAACTATCATTTGAGATTATACTATTTATTGACTAAGTTCATATATTTTTAGTAGTTATTGTATTTTTGTAATTATTGTAATTTTTCATTATCAATATATTTTCAATAATTGTGTGTTTTTGCTATAAATTTTTAATAATTATTAGTGATTAAACTATTGTTATTTATCAGAGATATGACTATTAATTTAGCTAAAATTATGAGTGTTCATGAGTTGGTTCGGATTGGTCGTAGGCTATTTGGCTAACCAAATTGACCTAGTCAGGTTGGGATTTGGTTAGTTAAAGCCGACTAACCTTTTGTGAAAATCGGCCCACTCAAGTTATATCGGGTTGGTTTTCGCAAAAGGTCAATTGGTCCAAAAGATCTAAAGTTAAAAATTAAATTTAATTTTAAAAATTATAGTGCAATTGTAGGTACATGGTGGTCACTTAGACCATCAGAACAGAGGAGGTGTCAAACTAATATTATGCAAATGCCTGTAATGAGTTCATAAGTCATCACACATCTACGATGAGTTTATAACTCATCACACATTTGCGATGAACTCATAGTTGAAACAGGTTGCGATGAACTTTGGACCTGCGCGGACTTACGATGAGTTTAAATCCACTGCAGAACCGCAATGAACTCCGGACTTGCGATGAGTTTAAAGTCATCACAGAATCGTGATGAGCGTAAACTTACCATATATCAGAAAAAAATAATGAAAACACGTGTGTCATTAAATAACGTGCGTGACAGGACAACCCATGAGCCTAATGAGGGTGTGCAAACTAAATAGTGACGTCACCCATGCCATGTTTTTTTAAAAGGGCCATGAAAGGAAGTAGCACATAAGACACGTGGCAAAACCCTAGTAGTGTTACCTAACAACTGGAACCAAATCCAAGATTCCCTTTCCTAATGGTAACCAAACACTTTTGGCTCATTCCTTTCGGGACCTTAGGATCCCTCCCTATAAATATGAGTCCAATTCATAAAGAGATAATCATTCTATCATCTCATTTGCCCTAACCTTTAGCCTACCTCCTATACTCAGCTTTACTTTGTCCTTTAAGGAGACTCCTATACGTAGCCTAACCACCTTACTCACAACAATTATTAAAAAATAAATTTAAAATTTAGATTTATGAAATGAAACATTTTAGACTAAGAAATATGGAAAATTTCTCTCTCTTTTTTATATTAAAAATTACATTTAAAATATGAAATATATATAATACTGATCCAAATGGCCAAAGTTAAACTGATCCAACTTGGTCGAATTGAGAATTTTTTGAACCAAAGCCAACATAAAATACTAAAAAACCGACCAACTCGGGTCGAATTGATCGGGTTGGCCAATTTTATAAGTTTGATGAATAAACCTAACTGAAATTAATTATTGTTATTTTTGTATTATAAAAAATATTAAAAATAGTATATAAAATATGAATAATCATTAATTATTTAAACAGTTGAAAATATAAAACAATTGTATACACTTATGTGGTTCTATTAGGGTCATTTACTAGAACACACCTTATAGTTTTACATATTTACTTAAACCTACCTTATAGTTTTCATTTTACTAAAATATCCCATATATTTTATAATTTGTTTACTTAATCAACCTTTCATTAAGGAGTGTTTGTTTTGCCATTAGGCCCATGATTTTTTATTCCAAAAAATACACTTAACACTTTTTTATACAAAAAACAAAATTGGACAAATATAGCCAATACAATAGTTGCTCGTGTCTTATTAAGGGCAAAATGGTATTTTTATTTCTATTTTCTTTTGATTAATTTTATTTCAATGAACATTAAGGTCAACACTATCATTTTCCACTATAATGGAAGATTGATTAAATCCATTGCAAATTATAAGTGATATTTTAGTAAAATGCTAACTATAGGATAGATTTTTAGTAAATCCATGAAATTATAAGGGCATTTTAGTAAATGACCATTTCTATTATTTATCTTTTGCTTAATAAATCCTGTGCATCACACGGGTCCCCGCTAGTATTATATTAAAATTGGTCCTGCCATGTCAACAGCCCTCTCCTTGCTTCAAATCCCCCTTCCTAATTTTCTTTTTTTTTTGAATTTTTTATTTTTTTAATTCCACATAATTACGCATTAAACCAATAAGGAAATTACATATACCTAACTATTTCTAACAACGTTACGAAGTGGCACCACTTTCCCCCACTTCCTCCTAAATTGTCTCTAATTCCTATTTATCTCCTAAATTGTCTCTAACTCCTATTTATCTCTTCAATTATCTCTWATTTTGTVGAGAGATTCTCTCCTAACCTATCTCTAATTCCTATTTATCTCCTAAATTGTCTCTAACTCCTATTTATCTCTTCAATTATCTCTAATTTTGTAGAGAGATTCTCTCCTAAGCTATCTTTAATTCCTATTTATCCTCTCCCCCACTTTTTATCTATATCTATCTAAAGAAAGTTTCAATTAAAAAAATTCAGAACTATTTAAATATTATAACGAAATTATATACTAAATTTAAAATATTTATTCAAAATACAAAAAATGAATAGATTTAATAATATTCATATTATTAATAATTCAATATTTTTACAAAATTCACCATGAAATTATGTAGTAACAATATACATTATAATTTTATGAATTATTCAATTTAAATGTAATTCAAATAATAAAAATTTAACATAAAAAAATAAAGCATTATTAAAATATTTCAATAACTAAAAATCTCAAATAAAAAACATTAAAAGTAGCTAAATAATATAAAAAAATATTTAATATTACATAATAACATTAAAATGAACAAAACTCAAATAATGAAAATTTTTAAATATTTTACATAATATTTAAATATTTAAATAACAAAATATTTAACATGACAAAATTTTAAATTGTTAAAATGACGAAATTATGTAATAATTAAAAAAAATCTTAAAGGTAGAAAAATAGTTATAATAGAATTCATAATATTCATATTAATAATAATTTAATAATGTTCTGGAGAGTAGTGGTTACCCGGGTATAACCAATACTCTCTTGGAGGGGAGTAAGTTACCCATCCACTGAAAACTCAAACCGCTCCTCTTATCGTGCCTTACTTGGGTAACTAATCACCCAAACGAACACATCTGTATTTGTAAGCACTTTGGCAATGTTTCCCTGGGAATCAGTTTTCCAAGGAAAAACGTCACCCGGGTAATGCAAAACGAACGAGGCCTTAAAAGAGTCATTATAAGAATGGGATTAACCAATCAAAGTTTTAAAACATTCAAAAAAAAAAAAAAATTATGTATATCTGTATCCATGCATATCAGGATGCATTGAAGCAGATACAATACATTGACTTTAAAGTTACCAAACATTAATGTAAAATTTAGCAGCAGGTTAGCTGGCACTTCCCATTTGGATTTCCAAATGGTTGGTGCCATGACCTAGGCTAGTAGTAGCTTCAATTGGAGAATGCCACCCAAGCAAGAGAGCTTCTGCTGCACAACACCAAGCCATTAGGACTGAAGAAGGACAGTCCTATTGAACACAACAATGTCTGTTGGTGCATTGTCCTTTTCACGGATGCAATGACGAAAACGCCCAGAGGGAATGGCACATGCTCTTGGGCTGGTCCTAACTCTCAACCCTCTTAACCGTTTCCATGTTGAAGCACATGGGGGGAGGGGGTTACTCCTGTGCCATCATTAAAACATAATCTGGATACAACTCACACACCCCAAAATGATCGAATCAGCAACTGTGTTGACCTTCCAATTCAGGCGAAGTTATCAAATTAACAAACACCGGTTTGGCTGAGCCTGATCACCTGTATTTTCTGTGGTAGGGACATAAAACATATGACGACTTTGAGAGCTTGAGAGAAGAACAAATTTCACCTTTCTTTTAATTGCATTTATAGTTTATCCAAATATGGTCCTGATCCCACATAATTAGCACCGGGCCACCGGCAAATAAGTGAGATCACGCGCCCTAGCTACTCAACTTTTCTTTCATTTCAAGAGCGTGACGTGACCCAATGGATCATGTTCTTGTAATTTCTTTTCGCTTATATTTACTTTCTGGTTTATCCTCGCTTCCTCACCGCTGTTGTTGGATAAGAGGATTTTGTTTCAGAGTCAGCATGTGAATTTGGATTCCGAGGAAATAAAGTTGTGAATGTGAAAAAAGAAGAATAAGTAATGAATGGACTTGCCAGGTGTCAACTTTTTGGTTGGCAAGGTCTCCCGCTGGTTGCAGCGGATACTTGGCATCTAATAGGCTATCCCCGCTATGTAGAGTTCACATATACATCTCAGCCCATGGTGAAAAAAAAGCAATGGACTGTTTACTAATTAGGAGTCGAATCACATTTCCATGCCCACCTAATACAATTAGGCTATGTGTGGTTTGAAGGAAAAAGGTAGGGAAAGGAATGGAAAGACAGAGAAACCTATATATGTTTAAATTTAGCTAGGTGCCACCGTTGAAGTTAAGGGAGTCCGGACATGTAGGAATTTCTAAGATGTGTAAATTGCTGCTGGTGGTACACCAACCCACGTACAAAATAAACACGTCTGCCACTCTTCCATCTTGTTAATTAAATTGCTGCTGGCAACTGTTTCAGTTTCGCTATTGGCAATCTAAACAACTCTAGGACGACGGGAAGTTGCACGGTTGCAACCGCTTATATAATTCAAGTTTTGAATTCCACTGCTTGAGTCCTACCTCTTAGAATTGGATCTCTAGTTGTAATTTGGAGTTTCCTCGATGAAACACCTTTGTATATCGACAATTCTTTTGCAATAATGGAATGAAGTTAAAAAGGGAGCGACTACTAAAAGAAAACTGTTAATTCAACCCAAATAACAATTGAGCAATTTCCAATTTCAACCATTTATATGCCGTTGCTAAAACCACATCAGTCACACCCTTCTGCCCTCTGGCTTCACCCATACAAAAAGCAAAGAATTCAAAAAAAAAAAAAAAACGTTTTAGTATCATTATTAAACCCTTAGGCCTAATGACGACTTCTATGTCTCTAACTAGTAAGTATAGATGAGAAGAGGATAGTAGAACAATTAATGAAGAAATCACAAATGAGATTATGTTGCCACCCCTGACGAGCGACGAGCGTTTGATTTGTGCATCGATCGACCAATTAGTTCACAGACTTGGGATTCATTCCGCTTCCCATCTCCAAACTATCATTCGATTCAGGAATGTACTTGCCCCAGAACCAGTGCTGCCTCCACACATGCATCATCTCTTCGATGGGCACTCCCTTCGTCTCCGGCAACAAGAAGAAGATGAAGATGGTCATGATCAACACCCACCCGGCGAAGAAGAAGAACAGTCCGAACTTGAAGTGGCACAACATCGTCAAGAACACCTGAGCTATAGCGAAGGTGAACAACATGTTCACAGCCACGTTGATACTCTGGGCGGCCGACCGTATCTCCAGTGGAAATATCTCACTCGGCACCAGCCATCCTAGCGGCCCCCAGGACCACGCGAATCCCGACACATATAGGCAGATGAAGAACACCACAACCCCGGCGTATCCCTTCGACAACCCGTCTGTCTGACCATCCAATCCAAATTTCATCCCGATCAGGATTGCCACCGCGATCTGCTCCCACAAACACCACATATATTACATATACGTCAATGGAAATACGTCTGTGAAAATAAACAAGCGAGTCTACTAATCGGGTCGTTTACAAACTTAATTACCTGACACACAAACATCTGAGTTCCACCCTCCAAGAACAATGCGCGTCGACCCCATTTGTCTGATGTAACGATGGAGACGAATGTGGCGAGAACGTTAACCAAGCCAGTGATGATTGCCGACATTAGCGAAGCGTCGGATCCAAACCCGATGGTTTTGAAGAGAACCGGGGCATAGAACATGATGACGTTGATACCAGTGAGTTGCTGGAAGAAAGGAATGGCGATGGCCATCACCAAGTGGGGTCTGTACTTTCTCTGCAATATGTTAGTCCACGGGTGCTCCACCGTTTTCGATGCTTCGCTAGCGGCCACTAGGTCGTTGAACTCCTCGGTGATGTCGTCGGTGCCACGGATGCGCCGGAGCATGTTCCTTGCTTTCTCCGGCATGTTACGCTCTATGATGGAGTTGGGTGTGTCGGGAAGGAAGAATGAGCCGAAGGCAATGAGGAAAGCAGGAACGGCGGCACCGCCCAAGCTTATCCGCCACCCCCAGCCACCCTCGATCTTAGCAGTGCCATAGTTGATGAGATTGGCGAAGAGGATTCCCAGCGTGATCATGAGTTGGAAGCCGATGTTCAAAGCCCCACGGTAATTGTAAGGAGCCATTTCCGAGAGATACAGTGGGACAGACTGTAGATTCAATAAACCACAAGGTCAATTTTCCATTTACATCATAAAATTTTAATTGAAAATATATATATATATATATATATAATATAATAGGAAAAAGACTTGTATTTTTGCCGGGACCCAATTAACCTTAACCAAATATCCAAGTTGGTACAATGGTTAATCAAGATTCGAATCATCACTGGGCAACTTGTACTTGCAGTAAAGATGAAACCAGAGAAACAAAAGAAAACTTTTTTCTTTCTTCATCAAAACCAAATGCCCTCAAATGGGAATACAGATGTGTGGCGTTTTTTCTTTTTCGGCCAAAAAAGAATGGAACATCGAAGCATGTGAATCGTGACAAATATTTTATTGGAAAAAGTTGGATGAAATGTGACAACTCAACAAGTGGGTGAGGGTGACGAGATATGAAATTATGATTTATGAATGGTGGTGTGATTTGTAACGAAAATATAAAAAATAGAAGGAACGACTTTGGACTTTTGATGCAGTTGTTTGATTGTTTCTACCAAAATTAATAATACAGAAAGAGGATTGTTTTTCAATACTCCTCAGGCTTCGCCTCACTTTTAATTTCGATAATTTTGTTTTATCTGACAGAAGGCCGTTGTGGAAAAGGGTGCACAATGTACACATAATCGAGGGAAAACAACAGCGTCGTTTTTTACTTTCGTAAACAAAGGAAACAGCCCCGTTTACGACGAAATCAAGCGTTTACTCTAATGTGGAAAAACAAATATGTAGACAGATTTGAGTAGTTCAACAATCTTTATTATTAATAAGCTAAGTCGGTTCTGCTTCAAAAATCGGACCATGACTCGACATAAGATTTTTGTTAGGTTAAAAACTTAAAATGCTCTAGAGATTGATCTATGTAACCAGGGAAACCACAGCAGAGAGCAGAGAAGAGATTGGAGTTGAAAACCACGGAAAAGTCTGAAACCAGAACCATTTTCATACAAGAAAGCAGATCTCTGTTCTCCTTTCTTTACTTTAGTGAATAAATTTTCCTGTTATATACTGACGGAAAAAAATTGATGATTCATTGAAAGTGAGGCAGTTCCGTATAGAAGAAAGTAACTTTTGCGGGGAAATGGAGTTAAAAACGAACAGTGGAGAGAGAGAGAGTAAAAACCAAATTGTTAAAACGACAAAGTTCGGGGAATCAATGATTCTCCAGGGAAAAATGAGAATAGAAAGAAGAAAAGTTAAAACGATCGAGACGTAAGAACTGCAAAACTAAGAATAAGATCGTTGAGATCAGAAAAAAAAAAAAAAGTGGAGTATAAATTACCTGATTGGCGAAACCCACACCGACACCAAGCAAGATACGGCCGATGATGAGCATGGCCACATTAACCGCTGCCGCATTGATGGCAGCTCCCGCTAGGAAAACAATACCTCCCAAAAACATGGAAAGCTTCCTTCCAAATCTTCTGGTCACAATGGAAGCGAAGAGAGATGCCACAAGAGCGGCAAGGTAGAGAGACGAAGTAAACATGGTGAGAGTCTGACTGTCGAATTTACAGTACTGGTTGGTCGACGTGTCTTCCTTCTCCTTCCGGTACACAGAAGGGAAAAACTTTTTCAAGAATGAATCCATGGATGTAACTCCACCTAGAACCATCAATTCCTCCACAAATCAGAAACAACATCGATTTCTTTTAAATCAATATTACGATAAACAAAACAATTGAGGTCTCGGTCTCGTGTTTTCTTACCAGAAATACCGATATCGTAGCCAAAGATCAAACCACCTGAAGCTGCAATGATGCAGGCCATCACCACGTAGAACGTAAGCCTTCCCGGGTATGTCTTACCCGGCTGGCCGGCGGCAACGAATCCACCACCCGCCATGTTTTGATCAGAAGAGAGACAAGAAGAGAGAGTAGAGAAGGTATAGATATAGAGGTTTAAGGTTGCAAATGGGGCATGCATTTATAGAACATCGGAGGCCTGAACAAGGAATTTTGCTTAGCTGTCCGATAATTATCTAAACCAAAATAGAAATTTTCTTTCGAGATCTAAGTTGTAACTTTTAATAAAAAAATAAAAAAATATATATATGCTGAATTATTTATAATGTTTAGTCTCTGTATTAAGACTATAACACCGACTCTCCCTCCCTAGCCGGCTAGCCCCTCCCCGACTCTCTCACGTTGACTTGATTACGGAAGTACACCCCGTTTTTAGGAAGGATAAAACTCAATCCACATGTTACCCACCTCATCCAAATCCCTGGCTTTATCCTTGCGGTAAAATCTGATCAAGCCGTTAATTGTCCCTCTCCATCCAGAAAAATGGTTTCACAATCATCGGATGGGAATCTGTTATCTCTAGGAACGGTTAGATTCTAATTTGATGGTTCTGGGTCTATCGTTTGAAGCTCTTGTCTTGCGGGGATTTTAATTTCCAAAGAAATCGGTTGTTAATGGAAAGCGAATCTGAACGGATTATGCAATAAATCCCAACTCGGAAATCGTGGCTTAATCTTCTACAGAAAGGGTATTCTCGTCAGTTCACGAATCAAAAATTTCTTTTCACTTTGGACTCGATCCACATTACATAGATGGTGAATCGCCAGTAGTCGGATGCGTATCATCCAACCAAAATTCGGTCCGTGGTCGTTTTAGTTGTCCGTGGTGTTTAAAAAAGTTCTGAAACACAAAATTCCTTCTTTAATACTCGCTTCATGTTGTTTTGTGGTTTTGTCTATAAAAAATAAGAAATCATCGGAAGAATGGCATCGATGATGATTACTTATTGTTGATGATAATTGTTCATGATTTTGAAAAATCATCAAAAATTGTTGTTTGATATCATGTAAGTTGATTTTGAGAAATCAGTTTTGAACTTGTTTGGTACAGATTCTTAAGGGCGAATTATTTTTGTATTAGAGTTATTTATTTAACACATGTTGGATGTAATGTCATTCTCAAAAAATTGGAATCAGCTAGAAATAAGGAAATCATCAAAAAAGGTAGGAATGAGCACTATTTAGTTAAAACCGAAAAATCGAACCAAAAATTTTGGTTTTGATTTTTTGTTAAATCGGTTTGGTTATTTTAGTTTTTGGCTAATTCGGTTTTTTGTTTTAGTTTTTAAAATTAGAATTTCGATTAACCGAATTAACCGAACTTTTTTTTATTATATGTAACATATAATATATAATATATTATATATTTATATATTAATATATAATATACTGAAATTTGATTTCATAATATATAATATATATTATATGTTATAATATATACAATAGAGTATATATTGTTAAAATTTGGTTTTAAACGAAATAACCGAATAAACCAAATGCTCACCCCTAAAAAAAGGTGATCCCTTGAAAGGGTTGATTTCAAGAATCGATTTTTGACCGATTTCCTGAAAATCACCAAAATCAGCCAATCAAATAGAAATTTCAACACCGATTCCAGTAATGTGGATGTAGCTTTGATATGGTAGTGGTTTTCAAGAAATCATCATCAATTTCAAACATCACCTAAATCATCCACAAAATAGAACAGCTTTTCTAAGTTTTTACTTTTAAAAAATTTGATTTTAGAAAACAAAAGTAGAGACCAGTTTTTTAAAACCTGCTTCCTAGATAAAGAAACAAGGATCCCTTGTCTCGTTAGATACTTTGAGAGATCCTTTTTGTTAGTTATTGGGGATTTCTTTTTTTGATAGATTTATTTAGGCTGTCTTTGGTTTGAAGGAAAAAGTAGGAAAAGGTAAGGAAACCTTTACAAAACTTGTGTAGGTTTCCTTACCTTTCCCTACCTTTTCCTTCAAACAAAACATAACCTTAGGGAAAATTCAACTTTAGTACCCTGAACTTTGGGGGTAGTGTCAAGTTAGTACCTAAACTTTCAAATGTGTCACTGTAGTATCTAAACTTTCAAAAAGTGTCAAGTTGGTCCATGTCATTAACTGACCGTCAATTATCTGTTGAAAATGTCAAAACTATCATTCACAAGAAGGCATTGTTCAATGTCTTCCACCTTGAAACTTAATCGGTTAAGATGTTTGAGATTCTAGACTAATGAAGTCATTGCCTTTTACCTTTAGGCTTCGTTTGCTTTTCGATAAGTTACTTATCCAGGTAAATGCAATTACCTAGGTAAGTTTTTCTTGGAAACACTTACCCGGGTAAGTTCATTTATCCATATTCTTTTATTTCTCATTTAAATAAGACAATGACCATTATATCCATAAAAATCCATTATTAAAAGGGCCATTTTTGTCTCATTCAAGTGTTGGCAACTTTCCTCCTAGGTGGGAAAGTTATTCACCCACCTAGGAGATGGGCATCACTTACCCGGGTAAGTGAGACCCAGGAAAATAAACTTTCCCTGATCCCCACATAAATCTGAAAAAACATGAGATTTTTGGTCAATGGGAACCAACTTTCACCCCTCTCAAAATCCAAAAAAAGAAGACCGCTTTAGATCCAAAGCACATTCTTGTCTAGTTATTTCTTTGCTTTTAGTTATTGTTTTCCTTTATCATACTTCATGTTTTTTTTTCTCTCATTTTCTTTGAAGACAACTAGTTAAGTCTCAAGGTGGAAGACAATGAATAGTGTCTTCTTTTAAAGGGTAGTTTTGACACTTCCAACAAATAACTGACGGTTGATTGACCGTAAAGACCAACTTGACACTTTTTGAAAGTTCAATTACTGCATGACACATTCGAAAATTTGAATACTATCTTTACACTACCCTCAAAGTTCAAGTTCAAAGTACTGAAGTGGAATTTTCCCATTTATTTATTGGGGATCGACTTAGGGGCCTTGACTGCTTGACTTAAAAAGGGATGAATATAGCTTCCTAACATAAAAGCGTTTACTGAAAGAGAATTATATTAGAGAAGCTGTATGATTACAAGTTATAAGTATTGTACGAGGTCCTTTCCGTCTGAATTGTCAAATAAAGAAGAAAAGCGATAAATCCAAACTTGCCTTTGTTTTCTTAGCAATGAAAGTAAGGTTTTCAACCCATCGTTGACTTAAACAATCCATCTTTCGAACCATCACTGGCTATTATTTTGGGTCCGGTTTTCTTAAAACCTGAATTTGACTACTTGATCAAAACCCGTTGAATTTGAACAGTTGAATCATTGATCCATTCAACTTAATAATCGGATTCATGGGTTATACATTAAAATGTATTGAAAACTTTTAAAAGGCTATAATTTTGCTATCAATGGTCTAATTGAGATTGGGATGATCTTTATATCAAGTTTAGTAACTTATCGATGTCTGCATGTTCTAAGGAACTAATGACGCCTTGTTTCGCTAAAACATTTCTCTTTTGGCCTCGAATTCCAATTCTTAGGATTTTTTGTAAATATAAAATAAAAAACAATACATATATACACACATATGTATATGTAGAATGTAATTAACTAATGATATATTATTTAAATGATATAATACATATTTATACATACATGTATATATGTTATATATTCACTGGATGGAAGCTTTAAATTTCTTAGCTCTTTATATATAGAAATTTAGACCCCATGCGTAAAAATTGTCATACCTTATTCCCTTCTAAACAAAATTTAAATAAAAGATAAAAACAAAAAGGCAATTTCGTGTTAATTAATTCGATGATACACGGATGTAAGTGTCACAGATCTTGAAAAGGATATGGATTTTGTGTATTTGGAAAAACAGAACAGACTCAAGAATATCAATTTCTTTTTTCTCTGAACTTTCCAAATTGATCATCTCTTTAGTATTTGAAAATTAAGAGATGGTTTGGCTCTAGAGGAATCGATGTGATAGAATGGGTTGCCAGGGAAGGACTGATATAACGACATGGGATTCAGGAGAGATTTAACTGATTATTTAAATTTGATAGTGGCCTGATTGGGGCTTGACCTATACATTAACGATGATGACAATGACCATGAATAATAATAATAATAATAATAATAATAATAATAATAATAATAATAATAATAATAATCTGTAACAAACAAGGTTCAAATATTATATTATCGAATGGTATGTATCGATTTTCAAAGTCATCAATACGTGAAATGCTTGAAGTTAACTTGGTTTAATGCGTTTAAGTAATAATGATGATGTTAAGATGTCTATTTGTAAACTATCTAACTTTAAATCATATAGTGGACCACTAGACCCCATTAAATAGTAATGGGGTTTAATGCATTTCAGTATCAAGCAACTTGATACTTTGAACCTCGAAGAAAAGTAGTAGACCCCATTTAGGAGATTGACAGAAAGCCCAAATGGTATTATCATTGTCATTTGACCATGAAAAGATGATTCAATCTAATATTCTTTTAATTATTTAAATTATTAATGGTTCATTTGGTTTGTAATTGGAATTAAAATCAAGATCTTTTAGAATCAGAATTAGAATGATTTATTCTGTTTGGTTTAGTCAGGAATTAGAATGGGAATTGAATTCAGTTGGAATGGAATTTCATTCCCAATGAAAAGAGAGGGAATGGCCATTCCCTCAAATAGAAGAATGTCATGCTATTCCAATAGAAATGAGATACGGATTCCACCCAATCATACAGTTGGACATTCCGATTCTAATTCCAGACCCTTATTCTTATGAATCAAATGAGACCTAAGATGAATCTTTAAGAGTTGAAAATCTTCAAGACTTGGGGGTGTATAAAGAAAGCTTGATGATATTAATTAGAGCTTACTCGTAGAATCATAGGTTAGGTTAATAAAAATGGGATGAATCCTGACCGTGGATCAATGCCAAATCTACAGGCAGGATACAATTTATAGGGGGCGCTACTAGTAGACCAAGAGGGGGGCTGTAATTTCAAATTTTGAGGTGGAGTGCAGTCTACTTATCTCTTAATAATTATCCCTTAATAATTACCTTTCAATCTGAAGTATCGCAATTAAGCGGTT